ACTGGTACAGTGTCGTCTGGCATAGTTTCCTTCTACAATATCCATGGGGTCCGTTAGCACCTCTACCTCAAAAATCGATCCCCTTTTTCGTCCCCTTGGTTGTCGGCTACGGTCGAGATGCAAATGAAGATCTCCAGGGGTTGGAAAATTAGCTGCAAACTCTCCTCTGGGGCGGACGCCGCTAACTGAGTTTACACTCTGCTCGAGGGTTCGTCAGTTGTACCATGTTTTTATGAAAAATCACCTGTTGATGCCGTTGCGACCCTTGCAATTTAATAAACAGTCGGTGGTTTTACAACATTTCAACTGATTTACCCGCGGGAGTGATTGACGAGGGACGGAACAATGGAAGTTTCCGGTTGCTTGGTCCGGGGGCGGGAGGGGCGAAAGAGGAGATAGCGGGGTCGAGTTTTGCCAACCCCGACTGGAAAAGCCCGACCAGGAATCCTCTCGGGCATTCGTACCGTGAAGTTTCCACGGCGTCATAACTTTCGACGATTGTCGACGTGGGAGGGGGTTGCTAATTAGACTCTTGATGTTAAGCCGTCCGACTGAAGCCTCGGGGGTCCGCTCGTTCTCGCCGGATCGATAACTCCCACCTGGAGGAGAGAGTAGAAACGGATTCCGCCGGATACTTTTAGCCCTGTTTACATCTGGGACGTTCCTCGATGTGTCAACAAAAGGGAGAGGAAAACCTTTTAACCGCGACCACGGTAGATAAATTCAAAGGATCGATTATATTTGACCTCTTGTACCTTTTTCCCCCTTTTACCTCGAGGTACACAAGGTGTAACAACGGAGACCTATTTATAGACCTAATCTATAATACCTCCACTCACCCCTCCCCCGGCATATGACATCAATTCTTTCCATTTTCCCCATGAGCAATAATGGACGAAATTGATTCGTGTCGTAAACCGTCCATTGTCCACCTTCACCGAGATTTTGTCGTCCCAGTAATTTCACACATGATCCTCTTTCATCACCTTAATCAAAACCTAAATCGTATAAAGGATAACCAGTAAATAACCCTCTTCATTCTTCAAAAAATGAGTTCAGAATCTATAATGGGTTTATATATTTAAACAAAAGAAGGTTTCAGAATAGTTATCCGTCATAAGCTCCATCATTATTTTTAAAATACACTATCCCCACAAAAAAAAAAAATAAGACAGATATTATTGTAAAACTTAAAGCTAGTTTGGAATAACCAGTGCATAACCTTCATTCACTTGCCGGATTTGATGATAGTTCTTGTAATACATATCGTTTAAAAGAAAAACCCCATAAAGAAATCACACTCCTCAACTAGATTGTTAAAATTTTTGGTATAACCAGTACATAACCTGCACTTACTGAATGATAAGGACAATCAAACTCACCTGTTCAACATGAAACTCCGAGTAGGAAGTACACGTTTGTTGACTGGATAATTCAGACATAACCTACCTAGCATTTTGGGTTAACCATTACATAACATTCACGTACCACTTAACTGGTATATTGTTACCTAGTACCTATTAAGATCTATTTTTCATCTTGACATCCGGAGTAGAACTACACTTTTTTGACGAGAGAATTGAGCCAAAACTAAAAGTTTACTGATAGCCAGTGCCTAGCCTTCACCCACGCTTTGAACGGCAGGTTAGACCTGGTTAAATCTGTCATTTCAGCATGAACCCCTCCTACAAGGTTAAACTTATTCACAGATTATAGCTATAACACATATCAAGTATGTTCGGATAACCAGTGCATAGCCTTCGCCCATGTTTTGAACGGCAGGTTACATTTAGTAAAATCTGTCATTTTAGCATGAACCCCTCATACAAGGTTAAACTTTTTTCCCAGATAATAGCTATAACTGAAACCAAGAATTTTCGGATAACCAATGGATAGCCTTCGCCAACTTTTTGAATAGCAGGTTAGGCCTGTTATTTCAGCCACTTGTCGAACTTGTTGTCCCGGAAATGCAGACATCACCCACACCATTGTTGAAGGTTAGGTAATCTGTCATTTCATATCGCACCCGTCGAGGAAATGTCACTTTTTTGTCAAGATAATGATGTCATAACGTAAAAACAATATTTTTGGGATAGCCAATGCATAACCTTCTGCCAGAAAACTCATATACAAACTATAATTTTTGATTGGAATACTCTAGCTTATTGTGGGGGGGGGTTACCTTTTAATAGGAATTCGTTTAGTTATAGATGTTTGAACAACCCGTTTTTGGTTGTACTGTTACAATTGTGTTTGTCAATAGTCACGAGTAGTGAGAACTCCTCTCTCGTCGCCGGTATCATCTATCAGTCGTTGGGGTTGGTGGGTATCGCTTAGAAACGCCTTTACAATTACAAGTGGATTAATGGGCGTGAGTGGTGTAACGGTAAGGGTTGTAAGGAGAGTGAGACGAAGGGGCCCGTAATGGATCGTGGATGGGGGTGCATTACGGGCTACCCTTCGAGCGCCTTGCCTTACCTTTTCCCTAATTGATAGGTGTCAGGCTTCCTCGTGAATATGCATCTGGGAAACGGCCCCGGGCGGATTTGCACATCTGAGGGAAAACGTGCGTGGATGGGGTCCGCGCGGTCCCCCGGCGTCCTCCTAACGCCTACTTGTTGCTTTATTCATGCCGTTTCCCGTTTCACCCTTTCCCCCGCCCCCGTCGGTCCCCGGGAATGCAGGACCGTACCGACGTTCCTGAGGATCGATATGCGCCCAGGGCTCGGGGGCGGAGGCGAGGCGATCATTTATTCAAGGATGGGAAAAGGGGGTTTATTCATGACTACCTGAGCCCCGAGGACGAGGCGGAGGGGACGGGGATCCGGCGAGATCACGGGAACATATGTCGACGCAAATGACACCATCAAAAAAACATTAACCAAATCCAACCCCCGTCCGACCGACCGATATTCCGTTTCCGATTCTCAAACGGCTTAAAACTCGACGTCTTCCATCGCGGTACTTGTTTTATGCTAAGCCGCCCCCGCCGAAGAGATGGATACACGGACATGCTCTTATCCCCGGCCCCCTTCCACAACCCCATCGCACGAATTTAACTAAAACAACCCTCTGGCGATGCGGTTTGGTCTACGGAACTGGGCAAATGTGAAGGCCTTTTATCGTAAACCTCTGTCAAAAAGCACTCCCTCTGCCTTTTATTACGGCGTATTGTTGTCTTTATCCCTCTTGTTGTTATCTCGTAAAACAATTTCAAAACGGTACACACACTCGTTTTTAGTCATTTGACGTAAGTAAACATTTCACGGCCCAGTTCTACCTTTTATTGTTCTTTGTAACTTTATATGGTTAAGGGAGGGGTTTGTATAACCAGTCCATAATCTCCATCCACTTCCCGAATTTCATAGTAGCCAAGCTAAAACCTATTTTTCAGCCTGCCAACCCGAGTAGAAAGTACAAGTTTTTGACATAAGCGTATTGCACGTAACCTAACCAGAGCCTAACAACATTAAAGTGTAATGTAGCTCAAAACCTTACTGAAAACCCCTCCTAGAAATAACAGTTTATTACAAGATAACTTAATCACTATATAAATCATATTTAAGGATAACCACCGTATAACCTCCAACTACACCTTGAATTGGGTAGCCAAAGTAAAACCTGTCTTTCAAGTTGAAACGCCGAATAGGAAGTGCACTTTTTAAGAGATAATTCAATAAAACTGTTAAACAACTACAATTTTTTACGTGAAAATTCAGTCATATCGAAGTGTTTTTGGAATAACCAGTACATAACCTTCATTTAGGTAATGGTACCTTACGATACTTGTAGTAAAACCCTCTCTTTCAAGTTGAAACACCGTGTACATGTATATTTTTGACAAAATAATCCAGTCTTAACATAAAGCGTATTGAATATAACCAGTACATAACCTTCATTTAAGTAATGGTACCCTACGAAGCCTGGAGTAAAATCTTCTCTTTCAAGTTGAAACACCGAGTCGAAAGTAGACTTTTTGACAAGATAATTCAGTCTTAACATAAAACGTATTGAATATAACCAGAGTATAACCTTCATTTAGGTAATGGTACCCTACGATACCTGAGGTAAACTCTATCACGTTGAAACACCGATTAGAAAGTAGACTTTTTGACAAAATAATCCAGTCTTAACATACAGCGTGTTAACATAAAAGTAAAACAAGTGCATAACCTTCACCTATTTCCTCAATGGTAGATTGGACCTAGTAAAACCGCTATTTCTACCCGAACCTCCTTGTTAGAAAAATTCCCTTCTTCCAGATAATTCAGTCATGATCAACACCATGTTCAATCCTTGTAACAAGTTCACATTTCTTTGTCCATATAATTCAGTCAATACTAAAACCAAGAAGCATTTTGGGGATAACCAGAGTATAGACATCCACGTCCCGAAGTTTAGGTTGGCCAAAATAAAACCTTTTTTTCATACTGAAACCCCACCCTAAAATCATTTCTTCTTAGGCATATAATAGAATCAGAACCTCAATCTTATTTGGAGGCAACCAGAGTATAACCTCCTCTCTTTTCCTAAATCAGATGATACGCCTATTAAAACTGTCTTTCACCCCCCCTAGGTGGAAAGTACAGTTATTGAAGAAATTATTCAATCTTAACCAGAATCAATTTGGGGTATAACCAGCCTATAACCTTAATTTACATCTTGTATTGTAGAAGAAAATTTCACTTTAAAAAGATTAACGTTTCGTGCCCTTTTACGTTGGGTCTTCGATTGTAGACAGCGAGGAGTGGCGGACCTTCGCTTTATTCCACCCCCCAGCTAATCCCCGCGGGCATATCACGTAAAAGAGATTCTCCCCGGGCGGATAGAATTCAGTCATGAGTATTCAGAGGGGAAAAGCTTGTAAAAAAGCCGGGGAGGAAAACGCCCAAGACGCCTGTAGTTTTATCTGTCACTTTTTTATGTTTGTTTATATATTGTCTTTTTTCAATATTGTTTTTACATGATTGTTTTTCTTTTGTTTCTTTGTGTCTACACAGCGGGGAAGCGAGGTGCTTGGTGTTCCTGGAAACGGCGAGGCGATGTCGCCGCAGAACAACCATTCTGAGAACAACAACGATGCCAAAAAAGTGAGTTTATCAAATTTTCTTTCTTGCATGAATTTTTTTATTTTATTTTTAACAGGTGATAGCTTTAGCGAGAATCATAGCGACCTGACACACGATTAGCGTGGCTTAGAAGGGCTGAATGGCCCCAGTTTCCGGAGAAATGGGAATCAGTGTTGCCGACAGTGTTGCCCAAAGAAGAGGCGAAGGGGAAACAACCATTGCCAACATTTACACGAACTAGTGAAATTTCTCTCTCTCTCTCTCTCTCTCTCTCTCTCTCTCTCTCTCTCTCTCTCTCTCTCCGTGCGGTCTCGCCTTGTACCCCGTCCCTTGTGGTGAATTACGTCCGGAGATTAATACGGACAGGGGAATACAATTAGGCAGCCCCTGCATATTTGAAAAGCAGATTTGGCGGAACGACCCTGGGTTATGAATCAAAATTCCGGCCCAAAACCAAAAATTTGATAAGAGATTGGCAAAATTGAGTGAAGGAAATTATGAGGGAGGAAAGCCACATATCGAAACTTTCCCTCTGGAAATTGCCAACGGTTTAATAGTGGCCTGTGTGCGAGTGAAAGGGTCGAAAGGGTAAAAGGGGATAATCCAAAGGGTTTCTTCCCCCTCTCCTTATTCTTTTTCCCTCCCATCCCCATACTCTTCAGTGGTGTATTTCCACCGGGCTAATAACCCGGGCGCGTAATCCCCCCTCTTTTCCTTCAGACCCTGGTCACAAAGGGCATCGAAAAGAGGGATTATTTTTGTTACTTAAAGCCTTTTGCCGATTGTCCGAAGAGTAATCGAAACCCGAATGGGGTGACTTTCTCTTTAAAAAAAATAAAAAAAATAAATACAAAAATTCGCGCTACCCTGGAAGAGAAAACGCTAAGGGGTGGGTTTTTTCTAAAATTGAATACGGCTGAAAATGAAAATATTCCGCTACCGAAAAAAGCCCTCGGGTTAATAACTCTCTGACCTGGCGGCCGTGGGTTTTGGAACAATGCGTCTGGTAAACCACCCCCGGGTGTAATATCGGGGTAGAAACCGCCCCCGCCCCGCCGGCCCTATGCCCTGCTTTGTTAACCTGTTGAACAATTAATTGGCATAACCTGGCCAAATAGGCTGTGATAATTTCAAAACTTGATGTTCATCTGGGTTCCAAACCGATCCGGCCGGATGGGGGTAGAGTAATCGTATGGAAAGAAATAGACAAAGGAAATGGAGATTGATTTAAATATTGATACATCATAGAGACTAAAATGAAGAAAAATTATAATAGAATAGTGATAAGTGACGTTAGTCTATGATTATTCGGAAATCGTGAGATGCGGTTTGGTGTGACGTAGGTTTCAGAAAAACATTTTCTTTGTCGTGCAACGTTTCGATCTTGAGGGGCACTCTCAACACGACACGCAAGAATGGCACAATTAAGCAGAAAACAAACACTATGAGCCCTGAAGATGATCTCAATAAAGATCGAAACGTTGGCCCGATAAAGAAAATTTTTTTCTGAAACCTACGTCACACCATACCGCATCTCACGATTTCCGAATAATTTAAAATAGAATTAATGGTGAATGATGTGAAGAAAATTTCGAGATAGATTATATAATATTGATGTGATTCGTTATGGGGATCGGTATGAAAAATACATTCGATATAGATTTGAACAGTGACACAAAGAAAAAAGGGAAAAGTAAAGATGGAGATTGATGTGCAAAATGTAGAGGGGGATTAGGTATAGTATCCACTATTATCAATCTGGAGAAAGATATGCAAAATGAGAGAAGAGGATGATGTATAATAGAGGAGATTGATATGAAGTCAATCTGGAGATTGATAAATGAGGGAGGAGGATGCTGTCTAATAAGGGAGATTGATATGAAGTCAATCTGGAGATTGAAGTGCAAAATGAGAGAAGAGGATGATGTATAATAGAGGAGATTGATATGAAGTCAATCTGGAGATTGATATGCAAATGAGGGAGGAGGATGCTGTCTAATAAGGGAGATTGATATGAAGTCAATCTGGAGATTGAAGTGCAAAATGAGAGAAGAGGTTGATGTATAATAGCGGAGATTGATACGAAATCAATTTGGAGATTGAAGTGCAAAATGAGATAAGAGGATGATGTATATTGATATGAAGTCAATCTGGAGATTGATGTGCAAAATGAGAGAAGAGGATGATGTATAGTAGAGGAGATTGATATGAAGTCATTTTGGAGATTGTTGTGCAAATGAGAGAGGAGTATGCTGTATAATAAGAGAGATTGATATGTAAAATGAGAGAAGGAGGATTATGATAGACGCACAATAGTGGAGAGATTGATGTGAAGTCAATGTCGAGATAGATGCTATGGAGATCGATGTTCAAAATGAGAGAAGAGGATGATGTTTAATAGTGGAGATTGATGTGAAGTCAATGCCGAGATAGATGCTATGGAGATTGATGTCAAACTGAGAGAAGAGGATGATGTATAATAGTGGAGATTGATGTGAAGTCAATGCCGGGATAGATGCTATGGAGATCGATGTGCAAACTGAGAGAAGAGGATGAAGCATAATAGTGGAGATTGATGTGAAGTCAATGTCGAGATAGATGCTATGGAGATTGATGGGCAAAATGAGAGAAGACGATATATAATAGTGGAGATTGATGTGAAGTCAATGTCCAGATAGATGCTATGGAGATTGTGTGAAAAATGAGAGTGGGGGAGGATTATGAATAATCCATTAAAGGTCGTGCTCCGATTGACCAAATAACTTCTTACAATTAATTATTCTTTATGTAAGGCATTGATTGAGATAAAAATTATGTATAATAGTGTAGATTGATATGAAGTCAATCTGGAGGTCAAAATGAGAGATAAGGAGGAATACGTAAAATAGTGGAGATTGGTAAGAAGTCACTGGCGAGTTTTATAAGATTGATTTTACAAAAGTCGGAAAAGTAAAGGAGGAAATTAATAGGGTAGTACCATTACGAATGATGTGAATATTGAAAGTTATTTGATAAAGATTGATGTAAACACTGAAAAATATTTCGTGTTGATTGGTGTGAAGAAAATGAATTTGGAATATGGAGAGTGATGTCAATTTTGAAAAGTACTCGATGGAGGTTGATATGAACAAAAATGGGGTTTTGAGTGAGTCATGAAGGACGTATGACGGTGATTGATTTTTAAAAAAAGTGAGAATGTGAAATAAAGAAAGAAGGAGATTGATGTGATAATAATAAACCAGAAGATGGATGTGGATATAGAAATATAAGATGGAAATTGATGTGAATGTTGAGAAATTCTTACAAAAAAAATTTAATATGGTTATAGAGATTGATGTGCTTACTAAGGGACGTATGATGGAGACTAATGCGAATGTTGCAAAATATTTTATGGATATTGATGTGAAGGAAATGTTAAAATAGAGGTCATGGTGATTGATGTGGATGTTGATAGGTATGATGAAGGTTGATATGAAATATTGGTGTCAATTTTTAGAAATACTTCATGGAGTGCGATTGATATTGGTGATTGTTGTGTAGAGAGTGAAAAGAAGTGATTAAGAAAAGGAAATGGAAATTGATGAAATTAATAATAGATGTGCAGAAGGAGAGAAAGGTGAAAATGATGGAGATTGAAGTAAACATTAAAGTTGGACAAATGATGGAGATAAATTTTCAGAAGGAGAGAAAGCTCGAGATTGATAGGAAACAATTAAGATTAAGGGATATCGATGTCAATATTAGAACAGATATTATGGAAACTGGTGAGAAAAAATTAATAGAGAGTGATTGTTGAAATTAGTGATAGATCGATGATTGAGATTCATATGTACAAGGGGAGAGAGAGACAGGTTTAGGAATGGTGAAATTGATTTTTAAAAATTAAGAGAGGTGATTGATGATCGAGGGATATATGATCGGGATTGATTTCGGAGATTAGTGTAAATAATGGAAATATGTGATGGAGATTGATACACGAGGAAAGAAAGGAGATTGATATTAAAGAATTAAGATAGAGGTAGATTGATGTGAATATTGAGATATGTAGGATGGAGATGTAGATTATGCAGATAAATAAATGATGGAGATTGATAAGAAATAATTATGATATAATGATTGATCACAGAAATTGATGTGCAGAACATAAGAAAGGTTAATAAATCATGGAGATTGATGGGAAAAATTAAGATATAGAAAGATTCTTGTGTATAGTGGGGGATATATGATGGAGATTGGTACGAGATGTCGATCATGGAGATTGATCTGAATACTAAGGGAGATATATGATAGAGACAGATGTGGAAAGTATTTATTGAGATTGATGAAATTATTGGTAGACGATGGCGATTGATGTGCAGAAAGATAAAGACGTGATTCAGGGGTATGTCGTTATGTAAATATTAAATTGTATATATGATGGAGATAGTCGTGCAGGAGAGAAAGCTGGAGATTGATAGGAAGCAAATTAACAGAGCAGATTGATGTGTATTGAGGGTTGTACGGTGGAGATTGATAGATTGATTCAAATTAACAGGTAGATAGGAATATTGAAGGATAAATGATGGAGAGTAGTGCAAAAATTTCGATTATGGAAATTGATGAAAATATTATGAAAGATAAGATGGAGAGAACTTTAAGAGAGTGAGTTAATTGATGGGACTAGTCATAGATAGTTCATGGTGATTGATGGGAAGAAGGGATGAGAGACAGAGAGAGCGACGGGTTAAGAAATCGTGGAGATTGATTGTTAAAAACTAAGAAAGAGCGATTGGTGGGAATAATGATAGATTGATGCGCACGAGACAAGGTGAAAATAATAGAGATAGATATGAGAGAATTAGGAAAGACAGAGATTGATGGGGATAATGTTAGTTAATTAATGGAGATGGATTGGAAGACGGGTTAAGAAGAAGAAGAGAGAGAGAGAGAGAGAGAGAGAGAGAGAGAGAGAGAGAGAGAGAGAGAGAGAAAGAAACACGGGTTAAGAAATCGTGGAGATTGATTTGAATAGTGATTGAGAGGATAATGATAGATTAATGATGAAGATTGATGTGCACAACGAGATAAGGTGAAAATTGTGGTGCCAGATATGAAAGAATTAAGACAGACAGAGATTGATGGGAATAGTGATAGATAGTTGATGGAGATTGATGGGAAGAAGTGGTGAGAGATAGACGGGTTAAGAAATCGTGGAGATTGATTGTTAAAAACTAAGAAATAGTGATAGATTGATGATGGAGATTGATGTGCACAACGAGAAAAGGTGAGAATTGTGGTGACAGATTTGAAAGAATTAAGACAGACAGAGATTGATGGGAATAGTGATAGATAGTTGATGGAGATTGATGGGAAGAAGTGGTGAGAGATATACGGGTTAAGACATCGTGGAGATTGATTGTTAAATACTAAGAAAGAGTGATTGATACAATAGCGATAGATTGATGATGGTGTTGATGTGCACAACGAGAAAAAGTGAGAATTGTGGTGACAGATATGAAAGAATTAAAACAGACAGAGATTGATGGGGATAGTGATAGAGAGTTGGTGGAGATTGATGTGTAGAGAGAAAGGTAGCATGGTGTTGAGCAGAGATAAATAATGGATATATTCTTTTTGATGATGATTGATGTATTCTTAGCTAATCATTTTTATTGTGTTGTCTTCTTTCAGGCCAAATTGGATAAAACGCCGAACAAACCCTCCCGGGTCATCCACATCCGGAACGTGCCGAACGAGGTGACCGAAGCCGAGATCATCCACCTCGGGATACCGTTCGGACGTGTGACCAATGTGCTCGTCCTCAAGGGGAAGAATCAGGTAAAAGAATTTCACCTATAAAAAAGCTGGGAAAGATCGATGAAGAGGGGTGTTCCTTGAGGCCGGGGGTGGGCTTTTTAACGAGGGAGTGTAACCGGTGCCTCGTTAGGGCCACCTTTTATTTATCCTTTCGGCCCTTTCAATTACATGAAAAGAGGTGTCTTTTCAATTAATTATTGCCCCCTTTTTACTTGGTTGGGATCGATTTTTTCAGAAAGGGGGTGGAAGAGAAAACTTGGCAGGAGTAACCTTTTTTCCCAGATGGATCCGCAGGGTTTCGCAGGTATTCCAGACGGCCGAGGAAGGCCCGTCCCTCTAGGAAACTCAAATAAGGGCCATTAATCCAAATCCGAGGGATCATCTGCCCTCCAGGTCACGTCCGCCCTCCTGGGCCCTTTCCCGCCGCGCGCCCGCAATTTTCAATAGTTAATCCTCATCCCTGTAATGGATTAGTCTCTTAGATTGACGGATCGATTACCCCCCCCCACCGGCAGACATCCATCCGCGGTACTGGCATCGGTATGTCCTGTAATGTGGGAAGGTTGATTTAAAAGCGGTCTTTTCCAATTTAAACACCCTCCCCAATCACCCCTCCATTTCTTCAGGGGTGAAATATTTGGAACGCATCGTGTCTGAATTATGGACGAGGGGGGAGACGAGAAAACTCGACAACTGCGAGGACAGAGAGACCAGAGGTCATCACACAGTGTAATTCACCATAATCTTTAGAAAAATCTCTTTTGTTTCGCTCTTTTCAGTCTGAATCTTCCTCTATTCACCTTATTCGATCAACAGGAGTATTTTCTAGCAGATTTTTCCCCACTGGACTGGTTAAAAAATTAATTAGACGTACAATCAGACAAAAAATGCCTTGATGTAGCGAAATAACCTCGGAAATGACCATTCTGGTCCGCTTTATCTCGCTCTTTTCAGTCTGAACCATCCCTCTATTCTCCCTAATTGGTCAACAAGAGTATTTGCTGCAATATCCTTATTTAAAAAGTAATTTTGACCGTGCAATCTGACAAAAACAGTCTGGAAGTAATCTAACCTTGGAAAACCCTTCTGGTCCGCTTTGTCTCGCTGTTTTCACTCTAAAGACTGATTAATCCTTAATTATCCTTTCGTCTTGAACCCCAAATGAACATTTACCGACCGCATTCGTCCCTCGTCAATGCCGCCGGTTCCAATCACCCGAATGGGCTTGAATTATTCAAACTTCTCTTGGGCAGAGGAAATCGACTCGGGATCATTGATGAAGACGGGCTAAGGGCGAGTGAACCCGTGTAGAGTTATAAAAGGGCCCTTTTTTCCCTACCTTTTCAAAAGGATCCGGTCGGCCCTAATGGCCGTTCGTCTGTCTCGGATCGATCCGACCTTCCTTATTTTTGCTCAAAGGTCCGCTCTGCCTCGCTGGTTTCAGTTCGTGTCACCGGCTCGCTAATGGACGCTAATCGACGGAGCGAAACGCCACCGGCACCAACTTTGCTGATTTATCTCAGTCAATTAGGAAACTGGAGGCGGACGAGGATCCGCTGACGAGAATCCCGGGGCTCAAAACGGAGGCCGGATTGATTTTCCCGATGGTAATTAGCCAAGCTTAACCAGCCGAATATAATCGACCTGGTGATAACTTGGGGGTATCATTATGATCTGATCATAATTGGAAGCCATGGTGCAAGAGGACATCAGTATACGAAACACCACACGATTATTATCTGCCAATACGATTCACCAAATTTGGACAAAAAGAAAAATCCTGGTACGCAATAGTTCAAAAAATTAATCGATAACGAAGGAATCCACCAAAAATGGTCATAATTTAGAAACATTGTTCAACAGGTTTCAGTGGATTCATCGTCAAATTTTTAATTATTTTGGACATAAGGGAAAATTGTAAGACGCGATAGCTTCAAAGTTCGTTGGGCCTTTTTCAACTTCATATGCTCCATTGATTATTTACTGAAGCAATCCATCATATCTGCCAAACTTTATAAAATTGTCCAACAGTTTTTGCTAGATTCACCGTGTAATTTTTATGCATTTCGTACAAAAGGGAAAATCGTGAGACGCCATTGTTTCGAGGGCATAATCTTTCCTCCTTTTCCAGAAGTCTCGATCCTCTACCGAATGAATCCACCAAATCTGGCCACGATGGACATATTTGTCCGACTGGTTTTGGTGGGTTCACCACGTTACTTTCATCGATTATGGGTAAACTAGAAAATTTTGGGACGCAGTAGTTTCAACAGTATAATCGTTGGTATTTTATCAGATATACAAACTTCCTTGATTATTTGGCGAAGAATCCACCAAATCTGGTCAAGTTTAATGCATTTGTCCAACAGGTTTTGGTGGATTCATCATGTAATTTGTGATTGTTTTGGACAAAAGGGAAAATTTTGGGGCGCCATAGTTTTAAAGGTACAATCGTTGTGATTTTCCTAGGACGCATCCTTGATTGTCAACCGAAGGAATCCACCAAATCTGGTCAAACTTGACATATTTTTTCAATAGTTTTTCGTCAATTCATAACGTACATTTCAATTATTTTGGACAAAAGGGAAGATCGTGGGACGCGATGATTTAAAAATTTTAATCGCTGCGTTTTTTTCCAAATATGCTTCCTCGTTCCTCTACCGAAGGAATCCACCAAATCTGGCCAAGTATGACATATTTGCCAAACTGTTTTTCCTGGGTTCACCACGTTATTTTCATTGATTTGGGACAAACTAGAAAATCGTGGGACGCAGTTGTTTCAAGAGTATAATCGTTGGTATTTTATCAGATATACAAACTTACTTGATTATTTGGCGAAGAATCCACCAAATCTGGTCAATTTTAATGCATTTGTCCAACAGGATTTTGTGGATTCATTATGTAATTAGTATTTATTTTGGACAAAAGGGAAAATTTTTGGGACGCCACAGTTTTAAAGGTACAATCGTTCTGATTTTCCTAAGACGCATCCTTGATTGTCAACCGAAGGAATCCACCAAATCTGGTCCAATTGGACATATTTGTTCAATAGTTTTTCGTCAATTCATAACGTACATTTCAATTATTTTGGACAAAAGGGAAGACGAGGGACGAAATAGTTTCAAGCATATATTTGTAAAACCTTTTCCAAATATACTTCCACGTTCCTTTATCGAATGAATCCACAAAATCTGGTCAAGTTTGACATATTCGTCCAACTGTTTTTGGTAGGTTCACCACGTTACTTTCATCGATTTTGGGTAAGCTAGAAAATCGTGGAACGCAGTTGTTTCAAGAGTATAATCGTCGATATTTTATCAGATATACAAACTTCGTTGATTATTTGGCGAAGAATCTACCAAATCTGGTCAACTTCAACGCATTTGTCCAACAGGTTTTTGTGGATTCATCATGTAATCTGTATTCATTTTGGAAGAAAGGGAAAATTTTGGGACGATTTTGATTCAATGGTATAATCGTTGTGATTTTCCTAGCACACATCCTTGATTGTCAACCGAAGGAATCCACCAAATCTGGTCCAATTGGACATATTTGTTCAATAGTTTTTCGTCAATTCATAACGTACATTTCAATTATTTTGGACAAAAGGGAAGATCGTGGGGCGCGATGATTGAAAAATTTTAATCCCTGCGGTTTTTTCAAATATGCTTGCTCGTTCCTCTACCAAAGGAATCCACCAAATCTGACCAAGTATGGCATATTTACCAAACTGTTTTTGCTGGGTTCACCACGTTATTTTCATCGATTTTGGGCAAACTAGACAAACGTGGGACGCTGTAGTTTCAATAGTATAATCGTTGTTGGTCCTTTTACAAATATACTTCTTCGATTATTTACCGAAGGAATTACCAAATCTGGCCAAGTTTGACATATTCGTCCAACTGTTTTTGGTGGGTTCACCACGTTATTTTCATTGATTTTGGACAAACTAGAAAAACGTGGGACACAGTAGTTTAAATAGTATAATCGTTGATGTTCTTTCAGATACACAAACTGCGTTGATTATTTATTGAAGAATGCACCAAATCTGGTCAACTTTAACGCATTTGTCCAACAGGTTTTGGTGAAGTCACCATGTAATTTGTAATTATTTTGGACAAAGGGGAAATTTTTGGACGCCATAGTTTCAAAGGTAAATGGTTGTGATTTTCCTAGGACACATCTTGATTGTCAACCGACGGAATCCACCAAATCTGGTCAAGTTTGACCAACTTGTTCAACTATTTTCATTGATTTTGACAAGAGGAAAACTGGTGGGACGCAATAGTTTCTAGACTTTTTCCAAGTTGGAAGGCTGATTGCCTCTGCATTTTCCCAAGTCTCAACTCGTGTTTTTCCTTGCCTTTTTCCTCTTTTTTTTCTGAAAATAAAGCCCGACCCTCCAGGTCCTTTTTATTGAGCCGGCTCACTCTCTCTCTCTCTCTTACAAAAGGTCCGGGCTTTCGAAGGATCCGAGCTGGATTTCGGGGGCTGGCCCGGGACAAATGGCATCCCCCAGGGAATGCGTTATCGGCCGCGCACATCCCTCTCCGCCGCCCCCGGGGGGTCGAAAAAGACGGCGGGACTTTCCACACGATAAGCCCCGGGCCCAATTTCCCCGCGGTGATAATAGGCGAACGGATGATCGAAAATTGCCCTCCTGCGGTCCGCAACGTCTCGCCCTTGGCGTTGCAATCAAGCGGGCGCGATGAAGGATGGGAATCCAGAGTCGAGGAATGTTTATATTTAAAATTAATTAAGGTTTTTAGTTGAGATAAAAAAGTCAATGGCCCGAGCGGGATTCGAACCCACGATCTTCGGCTAGATACGCCGCTGCTCTACCACTTGAGCTATCGTGACCTCAATCCACTCGGACACTAACTTCCCATCTCAACCCCACATTTTGAATTTTCCCTCCTTTTTGCTATTTTTCAATGCAATTCGAATCCCGCTAGTGCCATTGACTTTTTTATCTCAACTAAAAACCTTAATTAATTGTATGGTATTAATTGGTCAAGCGGACCACGAAATAAGTGAGTTTATATTTAAGATATTTCAGCCCCCTTCGAAAAAATAATTACGACCAAATGTCCGTCCAAAAGTATTCAACAATTTTGTCAAGTTAGGATTGGAAGAGAGATTTGAAACTTTATGATCTAAACAAATTAAAATTTTTGAAGCTGGGTTCTCTAACCATTTACCTTCTTTTTCCAAAGTAAATAAAAATTAAATGGTACATCCACCAAAAGCATCGGGAAAACCTACCAATTTGGTCCAGATTTTGTGGGCTGATATCCTTGAAATTATTGCGTCCTACGATTCTGACCAAAATAAATACAAATTACATAATAACCCACAAAAACCTGTTGGACAAATGCGTCTAAGTTGACCAGATTTGGTGGATTCTTCGCCAAATAATGAACGAAGTATGTATATATGATAAAAGGAAAATCACTAGGATTATACCATTGAATTTAAAGCGTCACAAAATTTTCCCTTTTGTTCAAAATAAATACAGATTACATGGTGGATCCACAAAAACCTGTTGGGCGAATGTGTCAAATTTGACCAGATTTGGTGGATTCCTTCGGTTGACAATCAAGGATGCGTCCTAGGAAAATCAAAACGATTATACCTTTAAAACTATGGCGTCCCAAAATTTTCCCTTTTGTCCAAAATAAATACAGATTACATGATGAATCCACCAAAACCTGTTGGACAAATGCTTTAAAGTTGACCAGATTTGGTGGATTCTTCGCCAAATAATGAACGAAGTATGTATACATGATAAAAGATCAATGATTATACTGTTGAAACTACTGCGTCCCACGATTTTCAGTTTTTCCAAAATCAATTTAAATAACGTGGTGAACCCAGGAAAAACAGTTTGGCAAATATGTCATACTTGACCAGATTTGGTGGATTTCGTCGGTAGATGATCGAGGATGTATATTTGGAACACCCCAGCGATTAAACGTTTTTAAATAATCGCGCCCACGATTTTTCCTTTTATCTAAACTAATTGAAATTTACGTTATGAATTCACAGTATGTCAAATTTGACCAGATTTGATGGATTCCTTCGGTTGAAAATCAAGGATGTGTCCTAGGAAAATCACAACGGTTATACCATTGAATCTAAAGGGTCCCAAAATTTTCCTTTTTGCCCAAAATAATTACAAATAACGTGGTGAACCCACCAAAAACAGTTCGACAAATATGTCCAACTTGGCCAGATTTGGTGGTTTCATTCGATAGAGGAACGGGGAAGGATATCTGGAAAAAGCTTAACTTTTCCAACGCTTGAAACTATTTCGTCCCACGATCTTCCCATTTGTACAAAATAATTGAAATTTACGATATGAATTCTCAAAACCATATGAACCAATATGTCAAATTTGATAAGATTTGATGGATTCCTTCGGTTGACAATCAAGGATGCGTCTTAGGAAAATCAGAACGATTGTACCTTTAAAACTATGGCGTCCCAAAATTTTCCCTTTTGTCCAAAATAAATACTAATTACATAATGAATCCACAAACTCCTGTTGGAAAAATGCGTTAAAATTGACCAGATTTGGTGGATTCTTCGCCACATAATCAACGCAGTTTGTATATCTGATAAAATACCAAGATTATACTCTAGAAACAACTGCGTCCTACGATTTTCTAGTTTGTCCCAAATCAATGAAAATAACGTGGTGAACCCATCAAAAACAGTTGGACAAATATGTCAAACTTTACCAGATTTTGTGGATTCATTCGATAGAGGAACGAGGAAGTATATTTGGAAAAGGCTTTACAAATATACGCTTGAAACTATTTCGTCCCACGTCTTTCCATTTGTACGAAATAATTGAAATTTACAATACGACTTCTCAAAAAACTGTTGAACAAATATGTCAAATTTGACCAGATTTGGTGGATTCCTTCGGTTGACAATCAAGGATGTGTCCTAGGAAAATCACAACGATTATACCATTGAATCTAAAGTGTCTCAAAATTTTCCTTTTTGCCCAAAATAATTACATATAACGTGGTGAACCCACCAAAAACAGTTCGACAAATATGTCCAACTTGGCTAGATTTGGTGGATTCATTTCAAAAATTTCCCTTTTGTCCAAAATAAATACAGATTACATGGTGGATCCACAAAAACCTGTTGGGCAAATGCGTTAAAGTTGACCAGTTCGGTGGATTGGTCGATAATCAAAGTCATAAGGTCAACCTTCCTCACGTCCCAGTTTCCGAATCAATACACACCATTATTCCGCCTATGATCAAATCATGATCATTGTTTACTATTTGAACCGACCGACAAAACCCTGTCTATCCCTCTCGGCCACGTAAAAGGCGTGAAATCAAGCGCGCCTTTGAACGGTTCGCAGTCAGCAACCTAATTGGATTATCTCAACAGTGGGGGAGGGAGTGGAAGACTTGTTGCTCTGAGGACTTGTTGATCCCAACCCGAGCGGATTAATTACCGGCTAATCCGACATTCTTGTCAATCGAAGCGGTTTTTGTCTCAAATTTTTAACGCTTTGTTCTCTTTTTGTCACTTTGGTTTATTGAATTTTTTTTCCAGGCGTTCCTTGAGATGGGCGATGAGATTTCTGCATGTTCGATGGTCCAGTACTACGCAAACTGCTTCGCACAGCTGCGCGCCCGCGCTGTCTACGTCCAGTTTTCAAACCACAAGGAGCTGAAGACGGACCAGAGCCACAGCAACGCGGTAAGCTTTCCGTTAATCCCTCCATCAAGGGTTGGGTTTGTCTAGAGGGGGTGAGGGGGATAATCCCAAACCCTCCCCCTCCACGGTGAATAAATCAAGAGAAAACAGGGAGCCGTTTTAATGGACCTTTCGAGTAGCGCGGGCATGTCAACCGGAAACGGTTTAAATCTGCCCCCGACGAGGGGGATGGGTCGGCCCGTTTCGCTGTTTAGCCGTCAGCGGGCTTGTCTTTTTTCCCTCCCCCCGCAATCCCAAGGATTACAGACCGAATCCTTTTCCCTGGGCTTATAAATTATCTTATTCGTCTTGAGAGACGGCTTTATTTTACTTCCATCCTGTTTTTATTTAAGCCCCTAACTTTAAACGCAACGAAAAATAAAGTCAAGATGTTCCAAGGAAGAAACAATTTCAAAAGTATTCTTTATATGCATAATGTTTTCTATCAACAAAACTCAAATTAAACAGTCATCGTCAGGATTTTTTTAGGGGTTGAATTTTTAAGGGTTGTTCTTTCTTATAATGAGGTTTTCTTTGGAAAAAAACCATTTTCGGTACACGAAACACCCTGTATATAGTATTGGCATATGGTCATGGTGGTATATTTTCGCCCTGATTGTCTATACCTTGGCATTTTTCAGTATATTAGGTTATTTTTTAACTAAATAGGATGAATTAAATAGGCAATAATATTTGGTTTATATAACAGGGTGCACCAAAGAGTGTGAAATTTATTTTACACCCTGCCCAGAAGGGGGTTCTTCTAAGGGTTGAATTTTTAAGATTTGCTCTTTCTTATAAAGAGGTTTCCTTTGAAAAAACCTATTTTGGGCACACAAAACACCCTGTATATACGATTGGCATATGGCCATGGTGACAGATTGTCATCCTGATATTGATTCACAACCCACAGTTTTATTTATTTATTTTTTATTATAATAAATAGGGTGAATTATATAGCTGGTAATATTTGATTTATATACAGGGTGCGTCAGACAGTGTGAAGTCCTTTTTACACCCTCCCCAAGAGTTTTTTAAATTCTAGGGATGAATTGTTAAGGGTTGTTCTTTCTTATAAAAAGGTTTTCTTTTGAAAAAACACTTTTTGGGGTCATGCAACACCCTATATATATGGTTGGTATATGGTCATGGTGGCATATTTTCGTCCTGATTGAAAACACCGTTGAATTTTTCTTGTTTGTAGGTGTTATTTGTAAAAAAATGTGAAAAATAAAATAAAAAACAATAACATTTGATTTATATACAGTTTGTATCAGTCAGTGTGTATTCTATTGTACACCTTACCCAAGGGGTTATCTCTTCTCCAGAGGTTGAATACTTAGGGGTTGTTCTTTCTTATAAAAAGGTTTTCTTTTGAAAAAACAATTTATGGGATCATGCAACAACCTATATATAAGGTTGGCATATGGTCATGGTTGCATATTTTTGCCCAGATTGACTAAACCTTGTAATTTCTCAGGTTGTTAGGTTATTTTTTAACCTAATAAGATGAATTATAATAGACAATAATGTTTAGTCTAACAGGGTGCATCAAACAGTATTAAGTCTATTTTGCACCCTGACCAAAAGGGGGTTCTACTAGGGATTGAATTTTTAATGGTTGTTCTTCTTATAAAGAGGTTTTATTTGGAAAAAACCCCTTTTTCCGAACACGAAATACCTGTATTTGTGGCATAAAAGATACTAATAGGTGAATTGGATACAGGGTATTTCAGACCCATTTTGCACCCTTACCAAGCTGGTTTTTTTCTTGAGCCACGGGATTAATGTGAATGGATGTTCTTTTTGGTAGGATGGTTTTCTTTTAAATAATGCTAAAAGGAATCGTGGACAACCCTTTATATAGGAGTGGCATATAAGCAGAGTGAGAATTCTTGATGTGGGTGTCCTGATGGACATGGTTTGGTGTAATTAGGATATTTTCTTCTTTTATACTTGGTGGTTTGTATCTTTTTTTTCAGTTTTGTAATTGTTTTGGTTGTCTTTTTTCATTACATTAACAAGTAGAAAGGAGACAGGGTTATTAACGCGCTCTTCAGACAATGAGCTTGCCGGGAGACAAATCGCGCGGCCGGTCTCATTTGCACGTCGTTTGGGGGTTAGAAAAATGGAAAAAACCCGGGGGTGGAAAAATTGCCGTTGTGAAATTCTACGAGGCGGAACAACCGGAAACACAATGGCTCATTGTTCGCGGGGGCCGGGGCCGTCTGAATTATGTAACAGGGGTTGGGGGCTTGGGGGCGGCCGCCGCTTTTCGAAGTTTGTTCCATGAAAACAGCTTCAAGGGTGGCGGAGGGGGTGGTTTTTTTACGTGCCGAACTCACAAAACCAGACGGGCTACTTTTGTTTCCATCCGAAACAACGGGGTGTAAATGTGTTCAACCCCCGATCCTCGTATATATTTTTCCGTTTTAAGGTCCGGTCTAGCAAACCTGGCAATAACTGGAAAAGGAAAATAATAAACCGTAGGAAAACTACCCTTATTGACTTAAGTTACACAGATCAAAAACACCCCGTTTTATTTCACCTTCATTTTAAACTACCCCCGGACGAACGAGGATAATGATCAGCCATGGGAAATCCGCATGCCCACCTGGGCCCCGCCCTATGAAATACGCCTCCGGGGGTGGCCAGTGGGGCGGCCGGGTTAGATGAATGTGCCGACCCCCGGACCCTAACGACCTCCCTGGGGCAGGGCTGATTTACACGACCGGCTGCGGCCGTTGATCAGCGGGAAAAGACGCCGATTTACAGATTTCAAACTCTCCCCCGACCCTTTTCCCCGAGGGTTGTTAAACCCCTGGTGGATACATTGAAATCCACCCGCGCATGTACAGCACTTGTAACAGACATGAGAACACATAAAAAACATGAACACTAGGTGTTAAACTGTCCTGTGCACCCTGTAGATCAATTCAGATATATTAGTGTCTGTAATAGTTACATTCCCCTTTGGTTTAAAAACATGAAAATATGAGAAATCTCAAGGTATTATTAATCAGGGCGAAAATATGCCACCATGACCATATGCCAATCCTATATTCTGGGTGTTTCGTGTACCGAAAATGGGGTTTTTCCAAACAAAATCAATTTACAACAAAGAACGACCCTTAAAAATTCAACCTTTAGAAGAACCCTTTCTTCGTCTTAGGTGCAAAATAAACCTAATACTGTTTTATGCACCCTGTATATAAATCAAATGTTATTGTTTTTTTTATTATTTTTCATATTTCTTTACAAATAAAACCCACAAAACAGAAAAATTCAAAGGTATTGTTAATTAGAGCGAAAATATACCACCATGGCCATATGCCAATCCTATATAGAGGGTGTTTGTGATCCCCAAAAGGTATTTTTTTAAAAGGAAACCTCTTTATCAGAAAGAACAATATTTAAAATTTTGTCTTAGACACGGTACTTAACGCATGTAATGAATTGAAATGATTACATGGCAGGAAGGTATCTTCTAAGATTTTACGAAAATTAAAATATAAAAGTCTCCGATGGGGTATTTATCATCGGTGGTCCGGGGGGTGGCAGAGCATTCAGCATATTCAGCATTTTGATTTCCTGCCGAGATTAGCCAGCTGGGCTGAAAAAAGGGCATAAGCGCACAAAAAAAAAGGTTTTTTTGATGGGGACAAAAACTGTTTGGCTTTAATTAATAAACGCCCCTCTTCTCTTTTCACTCCGGGGGGACTTGGAAGTTAGTCGGAAGAGGGACTTGAAAGGGAAAGTTTCTGAAAAGCTCGCACCCCCCAACGAACGAACGTCGGCGGATTGAAACTTGAGTTTGTTTTTTAAACAACCGGGGATGTCTTGATTTGTTACCTCTCGGGTTTGAATTAAAATTGTAAGCCGGAGAAAAGTTTCTTTCAAGTTTTGTTTTTCTTTTTCAGAACGCTTCTGCACAGGCGGCTTTGCAGGCAGCCCAGGCCCTCGTCGGCAGCCAGGAGACCCAAGGAGGACCAAGCACGGTGCTCAGGGCTGTCATCGAGCACATGATCCACCCAGTCACTCTCGACATCCTCTATCAGGTATTGGCACGTTTGTAATAGAACTCGACGGAGCTGTAGGGACCCCTTATTGATTGATGCGAGTCGGTTTGTACCACGGATGAGCGATCGCACACCCGGGACAGAACTTGAAACGCGGGGCTTGATAATTGACGAAGTACCCACATGGGGGCCAAGGTTTGATGGAAAACTTTCTTCTTAATAACTGTTGTAAACCGTTTTTACTTTATGGATCGTCAATACTGGGATGACATACGCTCCCTATAACGAGCCTTCATCCTCGACCCAATTTTCACCCAGGCGAAACAAAGGGCGTTAAGTATTAAAGGGCCGAAGAGGGCCCAAAGTCGTAAATAAGGGCGAAAGGGGGAATAAATCTGCCGTCGCGCTAAACGAGCCGGGGGCCGAGACGACCCGCACCCCGGGGGACCTTAAACTTTTATCCGGCATCAGTATCAATAAGGGCTGCTTAGAGGGCCGGGGCCCGATTTACGATTTGCGACCTCTTCACGGATAAATTCACCTCGAAAAGGCGGCATATCGCCGTTTTAAACCGCCCGTCCGACCCGTCGTGTGATTATGCCATAAAAGGTCATAGGGACATAAGTGAAGCCCACAATAAGCCGTCAACTGTCTTCCATGAGTCTTGGCTAAAGGGACATTCGATAGATTCAAAACATCCCTTTAGAATTTTGAGATTTCCGCTCTTACTTTACATAGCAACACTTTTCGAACTATTCATCTTGGAAATTTAATGAAAACGTCACTTTAAGATTGGGAGATTGTATTGATTTTGCCACTCGAACTCCGGTTTTTTGAAAGAAAAAAAAAACTTTATACTTTACATCATCTTTACACCTAGTTTTTCTTTACTTTACAGCAACTTTACGTTCAATTAATAATACACCTCTTTCCACATGCTTTACAACTTTACACTCAGTTTGGCTATTTTACAGCTATTTTTACACGTAGTTTGCATTTATTTCACAATATCTTTACACCTAGTTTGCCTTAATTTTATGACAACTTTATACTAAATTGACCGACACCACTTTGCCTTACTTATACGTAGTTTGCTTTTACTTTACGGTAACTGTACATTAAACGGTCATATAATAATCGTTAGTTCTTAATTTACAGTAATTATAAACCTTGTTTGCATTTACTTTACAGTAATTTTACATTAAAGTAATAGTACAACTCTTAACACTTACTTTACAGGTAGTTTGGTTTACTTTACAGTAATTTTTACGCGTAGTTTTCCGTTACTTTAGAGCAACTTTACATTAAATTAATATTGCACCTCTAGCCATTTACTTTACACGTAGTTTGGGTTTACTTTACAGCTATTTTTACACCTAATTTGCCTTATTTTACAGTAAGTAATTTTACATTAAAGTAATATTACACCTCTTTCCACTTACGTTACAACAACTTTACACGTAGTTTGGTTTACTTTACAGCTATTTTTACACCTACTTTGCCTTTACTTTATATTAAATTAATATTACACCTTTTTCCACATACTTTCCAACGACTTTCACGTAATTTGGGGTTATTTTGCCAAATAATTTGCCTTCACTTTACATTAAATTAATATTGCACCTCTACCCATTTACTTCACGAAAACTTTACATGTAGTTTGGGTTTACTTTACAGCTATTTTTAAACTTTGTTTGCCTTTACTTCACAAATATTTTTACGCATAGTTGCCTTTACTTTACTGCAACTTTACATTAAATTAATATTGCACCTCTATCAACTTACTTTACAACAACTTTACACGTAGTTTAGGTTTACGTTACAACAACTTTACATGTAGTTTGGGTTTACTTCACAACATTTTTGCACATGTAGTTTGCCTTTACTCTCCAGCAACTTTACATTAAATTAATTTTACATCACTTTCCAACGACTTTACACATTGTTTGGGGTTATTTTTACACATAATTTGCCTTTACTTTACATTAAATTAATATTGCAACTCTATCTACTTTACACGTAGTACCTTCTGTACAATAACTTTACACATAGTTTGGGTTTACTTTACAGCTATTTTTACATTTTTTTGCCTTTACTTTACAGCAACTTTACACTGAATTAACATTACACTTCTTTCTTCTTCATACATTCTTTGCATTTACTGTACACATAGTTTGGGTTTACTTTTCTGCTATTTTTACACCTACTTTGCCATTACTTTACAGCAGCATCTGTCAACTGACTTTACACCTCAGTAGCACCTTTTACATCATTGTACCTCTTAACAGTTACTTTTACAGTTGCCACATTAGCCTCAACTTTCTACCAGCATTTTCATCGGCAGTATTTTTCATTTTTGTTTTTCAATGTGTTTAGATCTTCTCAATGTACGGAAAGGTCCTGAAGATCGTCACTTTCACAAAGAACAGTGAGTATTTCCTCATTTGTCTGTTTTTTGTTGGGTCTCAGTTTTACACAGTATATTCAGTCTGTGTGTTTTTTCAGATGCGTTCCAAGTTTTGGTGCAGTACCAGGACGTGCTCGCGGCTCAGGCAGCCAAACTGGTAAGTGTTTTTGCGGTTTGAATGTTTTCGAGTTGTGTGCTGACTGTGGATTATTCTTGCAGAAACTTGACGGCCAACACATCTACAACTCCGGCTGTACACTCCGCATCGAATATTCGAAGCTAGCCTCCCTCAACGTCAAGTACAACAACGACAAGTCGCGCGACTACACAAACCCGTCACTACCCAACGGCGAAGGCGGTGTGGAACAGCCGGTCGTGAGCGACCAGCTCCTCCCTCAGATCCTCCTCGGAGCAACAAACCCGATTGCGAGGAGGTTCGACGCGAGGATGACAGGTGACGAGAAGGATAATTTCATGCCGTTCTTGAATCACGATCTTGTCCGATTTCCAGGCGTGATACCGCCGAATCCTTTCGGACCACTTCACGGCCTCACGTCACCCTTGGGCGCTGCGTTCACATCTGGGTCGCCGGTCGCAGGTGAGATGTCTTCTTAACTTCTACCATCACCTTTTCGCCCTTTCCTTTGTGTTCGTTTAACCTTTATTTTGTTTTTCTCCTCTTTTCTCCCGGCACCTGTCTCTATTCAGATCTGTGTACAGGACTCCCGTTGACCGCTGGGTTCACTCTTCCACCCAACGCGGCCACCCTCGTCCAGAACTCAATGCGCCTCCCGGGCCAGCTGCCTTCGACCACATGCGTCCTTCTCGTCAGTAACCTCAATGAAGAGGTAAGTTTCGGACTTAAAAGCCCAATTTTCCTTCGTAGACTTTAAACTTCACCCAACACCCTCAATATTCTCTCGCCACCTCTCAAGCAACCTGTGCTTCTGCCATCTTGTCCATCCTTTTAACAAAATTTCAAATAATCTTCTGCCATCTCTTGAAAGCTCACGAGGTACTTTAAAAAGACTAAAACGCATTGGTCCCAGACCTTTGAACCGTTCCTTCTCCTACTATTATTCACATTTGACCCATTATCCGCGGTGTTTATGCAATAAGTTAGCTCGAGTAGTCTGGAAATGAAAGGTGCACTTGGTACTTCTCGGATCCATACGCACACTCAAGGCTCCAGTGTACTGCAAAACACGAGACGAACTTAGCCTGGAAAATAACCAAGGTTGAACCGCCGTGTCTTCTTCTTAAACTTACAACCACCCTCAAGGCTCCAGTAAACTGCAGGAGATCCCATAGATGAGACAAACCGACTGGGCATCAGCCTGGAATAAACCAAGCATTGCTATGCTTTATATTCTGTGACCAGAATTCAGGCTCTATTGTAGTGCAGATGAGACATATCAACTGGGCATCAGCCTGTCTGGACAGTCTTCTACTTTAAACCCCTTGAATCCGATGTTAGCCTAAAATCGAGAGAACTCCAAGCAAGTCAAATTTAAACAGATGGCAGCAATGCAGGTTGCTTCAGAGGCATCCTGTGGTGTTTTAAGACAATTTTGGCCTATAATGGTTGAGAAATGATAGAATTTTCGTTCATCCAATTCTGGCCAGTTGGAAAAAGTCCAAGAAAAAAAGGGAAAACTTTACGATAAAAAAGTTGGACGAAAATTCTAAAATTTCCCATTTTTTTATTATTTTGTTAGTGTGGGCCTCATTTTTTTTCCAATATTTATATATGTATACATTTTTTAAATTTTATCTGGCCTTTTTCCTGTAAAGAAAAAAGAAGTTACAAAACAAAAAATCCAACGTCAAAGAATATTTTTTTGATTTCATGAGGTAAAATAAAGACAAGTTACAAAGCAAACAATCCATCCGTAAAAAAATCCAACTTTTTTTCATTAATTTTTCATGGGGTCTGCATAAAGTGAAAAAAAATAAACAAAAGGGACAAATTACAAACAGAAAAAAACCATTCATCAAAAAAGATTGTGCTTTCTTTTCTTTTTTTATGGGGCCTGGTTAAAGTGAAAAAAGGTGTAAAGAAAAGGAGTTACAAAGAAAAAATCCAACCATCCAAAAAAGTTTTTTATCCCCCCTTTTTTGGTTCTTTGATATGGTAAATAATAAAGTAAATAATAAAAGAAAAGAGAAGTTATAAAGAAAAAAAATTCCATCCTCCAAACAAAAAAAATGTCCACCTTTGTTTTTTTCTTCAATCGGGCCTGTCTAAAGTAAAAATAAATAAATGAAGTATAAAAAAAAGAGGTTACAAAGAAAAAAAACCAGCTCTGTCCAACAAAAAAACAATTTCACAATTTTTTTCATGAGGCCTGGATAAAATTTATTAACAGAAATATGTATATGTATATTATCTTTCTTTTTTTTTTAATTCCCACCGTGCATATTTTTATCCATTATTATATTAAATGATTTTTAAAAAATTCACTGCTCCAAATAATTATTGCTTACAAAAAATTATTTAATTATTATAATAAAAAATTTTGAAAGCCGTATTTGTAATATATAATGAATATTTGGGGCAGTCCAATTTGAACCCAAACAACCCCCATCCCAAAACAGCCAAAGTTCCAAGTTCTTCCAAAAAAAACTAAATAAAATAAATTTTGAAAGAAAAAAACCGTTTTGTTCTACATATTTTATTATTTTATTTATTTTCATGGAAAAGGTTGGAATTTTTTTAATGATAGGTTTAAAAAAAAAATTGGCACATGTTAATTATCAAGATATGTCCCTGTTATTCTTTGTTTTATTATTATTATTGATTTTTTCCAACTTTTTATTTTATCATTATTATTTTTGTTTTCCCTATTAATCTGTACACTATTTTTTAAATTAATTTATAATTTAAAACAATTTAATTTGGTTTATTTTTTTCTAATCTTGTTGTTTTTTGTGTTCTGTTTTTCCACTATCTCTCTCCGACCCTATCTTGTCGTATTTTCACCTACTCCTCTCATCTTCTCAACTGTACTACTACTACTACACTACACTTCGTACTACTGGCCCTGTCGTATTTTCAAAATGGAAAAAAAAACTTTTTTTTTAATACAAAAATTACCTCTTACTTCTTCTTCTTCTCCTGGATTAGACGATAACAACCGATGCGCTGTTCACGCTATTTGGTATGTCCTATTTTTTGTCTACTATTTTTTCTCTTTTTTTAATTTTTTCTATTATATTTTATATAATATGTATATATATTTCTAATTTAAAAAAAGAACAAACAACCTTTTCTCAATTTTTTTGCATATTGTAATAATTTTGTGTTGTTCTTTTTTTACTCTTGATATATGTATATATATTTTATTTATTTATTTTTTTTACTTAAGCATCCTATTTGTGTAATTTGCATTTTGGGCGCTTCTTTTAATTAATTTTTTATTATTATATTTTATATTTCATTGTTTCATTCTTTTTTGTTTTTAATTAAAACATGATTCATGCCTAATGTTTTTCCAGTAATAGTTTGTTTTTTTATTTTAACTTGTTTTTTATGTATATAATTTTTTTAAACAAATAACTGCTCAATTAACCCTTGTTTCACACTTGATCTGCTTATTTTTTAATATTATTATTATTTTAATTTATTTTTCCATTAATTTTAATTTTACTATTATTATTTCTATTATATATATATTTAATTTTGTTTTAATTTCTTTTATGCACGATTGTTGTCATTTTTGATGTGTAAAAGATTTGCACCTTTGGGTTTTCTTAAAATAATCGTCACTTTATTTATTTATTTTGGTACATAATTACAAAACATGAACACTTCTTGATAATTTTTCAGTATTTTGTATATTTTTATTTTTTTAACCCAAGGGTGCAATGGAATTTTTAGGTTTAGTTTTTTGTTTTTCTAATTTATTTATTATTGTGCTATACGTATTAGCGTTGGTTTGAGAAGTAAAGTGAAATACGTCTGAAAAGTATTAAAGTTCAAGTTAAAAAATTTCATACTCAGAAACAAAAAAAAAATCGCATTTTTTTAATATTGAAATGATGTATAATGGGAGAAAATATTGATGTCAATATTTGAATATGTGATAAATTAGAGCTTTAAAAGGTTATTAAATAGACTCAATTCGTTTTAGACGATGTAAAGTAGTTCTGAATTATTTTTGTTTTTATTTTATTCATTTTACTTATTTATTTATTTTTGAGAGAGAGAAAAAGATAAAACCCATGTTTTCTCTTTAAATTTATCGTTAACCATGACTGGCTGCTCAATGGCGCTTTTTGGCCCGACTGTGCGGGCTCTCCCATTGTCGGCTGCGCAATGGCGCTTTTTGGGCAGACCGCGCATGTATTTCGCATTGACGGAAGCGCAATGGCGCTTTATGGCCGAGTGCGCATGCTCTTTCCCATTGTCGGCTGCGCAATGGCGCTTTTCGCATTGTCGGCTATCTCGCATTGACGGAAGCGCAATGGCGCTTTATGGCCGAGTGCGCATGCTCTTTCCCATTGTCGGCTGNCTTTTTGTGCAGACTGCGCGGGCTCTCTCCCATTGACGGCTGCGAAATGGCGCTTTTTGTGCAGACTGCGTGGGCTCTCTCCCATTGACGGCTGCGCAATGGCGTTTGTTGGGCCGACTACACGTGCTTTCTCCCATTGATGGCTGTTCGTTCACTGAGGCTTTTTGCGCCGAATACTCATTTCACCTGCCTATTTTTTAAATCCTTCTTTTTCCCAAAATTTGACGCGATTTTTTAATTTTAAAAGGTTAAAAAATTACGGATTCTTTTTTTAAAGTAGGAAATGGTTAAAGCAAAGATAATTCTTGCAATAGAAATTTGTTCAAACGAGAATTTTCAGTTTTTTTTATTTTATTGGTTGATTTTAGATTGTACATTAGATTTTTTGTTTTTATTTTTATATTTGTTTGTTTTTGTCTAATAAAACAATTTATAATGAACCGTCCAGGTGTATATGGAGACGTTCAGCGTGTCAAGATACTCTACAACAAGAAGGACACGGCGTTGATCCAGATGGCTGAGCCACACCAGGCTAATTTAGGTACGTCTTCTGCCTGTCTTTTATTTACTGTTATATTTATTTTTAAAATTGAATTTTCTCATCATAACAGCTATGATGCACCTTGACAAGGTGAAACTCCACAACAAGCTGATGCGGGTCATGAGCTCTAAGCACCAGACTGTCCAGCTGCCCAAGGATGGCCAGCCTGACGCCGGCCTCACAAAGGACTACACATCGAGCAACCTGCACAGGTTCAAGAAGCCGGGGTCAAAGAACTACCAGAACATTTATCCGCCCTCGTACACACTCCACTTATCCAACATACCGTAAGATTGATGAAAATTCAAAACTTAGTATTTTTTTAACGATATATTACTTTTTCCATACAGCCCTAACATGGAGGAGGAAGATATCAAGAACATATTCACAAACAACGGCTTCACTGTCCAAGGGTTCAGATTCTTCCCGTAAGTCATGCAGATTTTTTTTCTCTTATAAACAATAAACAGTTGAATTAATTTTTTCTTTGATGGCATGTCAGGAAAGACAGGAAAATGGCCCTCCTTGAGCTCCCATCCATTGAAGTCGCCATCGAAGCGCTGATCGTAAGTTTTATCTATTTATGTACCATTTAACAGTCCTGAAAACCTATTTTCCTGTCAGCTGATCTAAATCTGACGTCGTATCAGCTATTCTAAATGGACTGAGCCCTCTCAGCTGATTTGTCCTAACCTCAACTATCCTCTCAGCTGAACTAAATCCAACAGTCCTACCAGTGGTTCAAAATTAAAACAATTCTCTCCGCCGATTTGTCCTAGCCTTAACTGCCTTCCTAGGTGATTTAAATCCGACAGTCCTTTCGGCTGATTTGTCCCTAACCATAACTGTCCCTTCAGCTGATCTAAATCCAACAGTCCAAACTTAATTCTCAGCCTACTTGCCCTTGATTTGAATATCATTAGCTTGTATATTATATATATATGTGTATTTATTTTTTCTATTCAAAACAGAAAATGCACAACCACCAGCTGAGCGAGCAGAACCACCTCAGGGTCTCATTTTCCAAGTCGAATATCCAGTCTCCAGTCCGCTAGATCAACAGTGAATCGGGGGAGGGGGGAAAATGTCTACCTCAACAGATAGAAACTGACAAGAAACACAGACGGCGAGAGACAACAAAGAATCTTGAAAAAAAAAAATATGATCACAGATGAAGAAAAAGGAAAAAAGAAAACAATGTTTGGGGGGGATAAAAGATAAAACTGGCATGAATGGGAGGAAAAGATTTTACCTATGAAAAAAATAAACTGTTTTCTTTTTTTCTTGTTCTTTTTATAAGATGATTTTTCTTTTTTAATATAATAACTTCTTGTTTTTTATTTTTTACTTTTTAAATTGTATACAATTTTTCTTTTATTCTCATTTTTTCTATGTTCTTATTGTGTCTAGTTAATTAAGCCAACGAAGTTTTTTTAATTATTATTATCAATTAATTATTTAGCACATTCTTTATGTTTGGTCATAAGGGAAAAATTAAGTGTAGTAAATAATAGACTTAATACAATGAAATATGCAGGCCTAGGAGTTATAGAGACAAAAAATTATAATAATATAATAAGTTTATAAAAAAAAGATTATGATAAGTGAAAAACAAAATAGTTTATAGATACGGCCTATAATCTTAAAAGTTTATTAAAAAATGTCTTCGTGCGAGGCCTCTTTTTTTTAATTATGAACAAAACAAAATAAACGAAAGGGGATTATTTTGAAAAGAAAAAAAAAACAGACAAAATTATTTTTGTTCTTTTTGTTTGTTTGTTTTTTTAGTATTATTAGATTATAGGTTTTTCTATATATGAGTAATTTTTTTTTTTTTTTGTCTCGTGTAATTAGACGATTTTAAGGATGAAAAAACAGCATAAGATGAACAAAAAACCTGCATGCTCCTTTGTTAATTTATTGTCGCTGTTATTATTTTTTCTCATTATTTTTTAATTTTTGTTCACTCTTTAAGAATCTCTTTTCTCCCCCTTTCTTTTGTGTATTGCTTTTTTCACTCTAGTTTTTATTTTATTAGTTTTAAGAATTTTATTTTCTAGGTTCTCTTTTAGTATTATATTTCTCTCCCTTTTTTTCTCTTTTTTTGTAATTTAAATACAATTAATTATTACTTATAAATAATTAATTATCAAAGTATTATTGTAAATGATTATGCATTAAAAAAAAAGTTCTTCCATTTTTACTGAATTTAAAAAAAAAAAATCAATTTTTTTAAATTGTTTGATCACTTTCAGTATTTTACGAGAGCTTTAAAATTTTTGATTTTTTTGATCTTATTGTTTAATTTTTTTATATTATATTTGACAAAACAACTCATGCTGGGAAGAACTTGATTGATAAAAAATAAATAAAAGTAAAGTTTTTTATTTATTTAATTATTTTTATTTGTTTCATTCTATTCTATATTATTTGTTATTCTGTTTCTTTTCTTATATCATTTGCATTCCTATCAGCTGTTCTAACCTCAACTGTCCGAACAGCTGATCTAAACTCGAGTTCTCCCGGGTGTTCAAATATAGACAGCCCTCTCAGCTGATCTAAATAAGTAGAAAGGCTTATCAGCTGTTCTAACCTCAGCTGTGTTCGAACAGCTGAACTAAACTCAACAGTCCTCTCAGCTGATTGGGGCCAAACCTTAAACTGTCATCTATCATAATTCCCACTTGATTTGTCCTAACCCGGCCAGTCTTGTGTTTTTCTCTTCTTCAATTTTTTCCAATACTACAAGAATTATCTTTGCAGTTTTTTCCTCCTTCCTCTTCGTCTTAGCGTCGTATGAAGCTTTTTTTCTTTTCTCTTTTTTCTTTTTTTGTAAAAAACTTGTCTTGCCTCAAGACAGAATATAATAAATATATTTGTAAAATATATAATATACATATATGAAAAAAATCACATATTGGGAACAAGAATAATTTAAGGCAGTAAAAAACAAGATATATCAATATAATTAAATAATTATTATATATAAATATTTAAAAAAGAGCAGAGAATAAGTGAAGGAAAAATAAACAAATGCTTTTTAATTGAAAAGAAAGGGAAACTTTACAATAAAAATATATATATACAAAAAAATATAAAAACAAAAAAAATAGAAGAAGAGATACGAGGGGACTTATTTATATATGTGTATACATAAAGAAAAAATAATAATCGGAAAAATATATAATATTAGACTTAATATTAATTAAATATATATCAAAACAAATCAAGAACTTTACGACCTGAGGGAGTAAAAATATATAGGAATTAAAAAAAGCTCTTCTATTTTAGGGAAAAAAAGAAGAAAGAAAGAAATGTATTGTATATTTTTCGTCTAAACCGTAGAGCTGCACCGGGTCACACTTTTATCAACTATGACAATCAGCAAAGACCTTCCTTACGCCTTTTTAATCCTTGCGGTTTTTTATTTATTTATTATTTTTTTTAGCCAGATAAAATTCTTTTATTGGTGTAATAAAGTAAAAATAATGATATACCTAATAAAAAGGAGCATATGACAAAAAAAAACCAAAGAGCAATGTGAGGATAAAAACGCTCTGTATGTTTCTTATATTCTTACATGTTGTATAAAAAGAAAATATTTGATTATAGAATAATAATATATCGGAAAATATAAAAAAAGAAAGGAACAAAAAAAAATTAAATAATAATGGAATGTGTAAAAATACTCTTATCTTTAATCTGTTACTTCTCTCTCTCTCTCTCTCTCTCTCTCTCTCTCTCTCTCTCTCTCTCTCTCTCTCTCTCTCTCACTTTCTCTTTCTGCTTCATGGTACAAGAATAACTGAAGAAAAAGCCAAAAAACCTTAGAATTTTCATCAGGGGGTGGGGGTAATTTTTTCATATTTGACACCCCCACCCTTGCCCGAGTGGTTAAAATCAACTTTTGGGGTGGTTTACGTTCAATGACATATCAATTTTATTCTTTTTTAAATTTACATAAATTTATTTTATTTTTTTAAATATGCTGTTTGATCAATTGATTTTTAGACTATGAATTTATTTTAATTTGTTATATATTATATATGGGGAAAAATATATCAATCGGTGGATTATAAAAATTATAGTATTTAAATTATTTTAAAAAATTGAAAAAAACAAAAAAAACAAGGGGAAAACAAATTTTTGTGCCAATGTGTGTGCTGTGGATTTATAATGTAATAAAAATATAATAATATATTAAGAATTTTCAGAAACAAAAATATATTAAAAAATAAATAATTAGCGAGGCCCTATTGAATATTTATTAAAAATAGAGAAAAAATTCCAAGCCCAAAAATAAAAAAAGCACTGTTTATTTTTTGACTTTTCCTTTGGATTAGAATTTTTTGTATTTTTGCTTCTGTATAAAGAAAACAGCGCAAATGCAGGGTATTTAAAATATATATATATAAAAGCCATGGATCACTGTCCGAAAAAAAAATGGAGAAAAAATTATGGCGCGTGCATGTCATTTTTTTTAAATACATTTTTTTTAACTTTATGCTATTTTTTATTTTTTTTATATTTTATAAATTTTACTCTTGCGTAAGCCAAAACCGTAGCAAGGGGAAGAGAGGTTCGACCCCCACAAATATCAGCCAGTCTTTCATTGTTAGAACAAAAACGTGGAGAAAAAAGTTATAAAAATATAAACTAAAAAATAATAATTTAGAGAGAAAAAATTAAATATATTATATATTATATGGTGTATGTGTTTTAAAAGAATATATGTTAAGACTTTTTTCATAAAGAGGGGAAAAGCAATGGAATTTTATTATGTCAGTGGGGAGGGGAGAATTTTTTTAGCTGATTTCTTTTTCTTGGCATAAATTGTTTAATTAAAACGTATTAATTTTTTGTAAGGGAGAAAAATATTTATTTGTCCTGTCTTAAACTCTCTTCTCAGCTGAAATATATCCGAGTCCTACCAGCTGTTCTAAATTGTCCTCTCAGCTGATTTGTCCTAAACCTAACTGCCCTCACAGGTGATCTAAATTCGAGAGTCCTATCAGCTGATCTGTCCTTACCTTAACTGCCCTCTCAGCTGATCTAAATCCAACAGTTCTTCCAGCTGATTTGTCCTAACCTTAACCTACCCTCCCAGCTGATCTACATCCAACAGGCCTGCCAGCTGATCTAAATTGCCCTACCAGCTGATTTGTGCTAAACCTAACTGCCCTCACAGGTGATCTAAATTCGACAGTCCTATCAGCTGTTCTAAATCCAACAGTCCGATCAGTCCTAACTTAATGCCCTCACAGCGGATTGTCCTAACCTTAACAGTATTTTTTGATAAATAAAAAAGTCTGTACTTATTTTTTATTTTCATAGCCTTTTTAGAAAATTTTAAAGGTCAAAATCGCTTTTCTGTTTTTCTTCCCCCTCCTTCAAATTTACAAAAAGCAGGAAAAATAGTTCTTAACGCTTTCCCACCTCAACTTTTTTTTTAAATCATTCGAATCGAGGGAACAAATAAACAAACAGGAGAAAATATAATAATAAGTAAAAAATAAAAAGGAGACGAATTTTTTAAAACTTAATTTTGCCAAAAAAAAGTTTCACAAATATTTACTTAAAAATTTATGAGGTAAAGCTGAGCAAAAATCCATTTTAGTCTAACCATCAATTTATATGATAACCCCCCTAAAACAAATCATCATCATTAGCTTTAGCTGTTCGTAGGGATGTTAAAAAAGAAGCTTCTTTGAAACAAACGAAAAAAATCTAAATATTGTAGGCTTTAATGGATGTTTATATTAAAAAAAGTTATAAATAATAAAAAAAATAATATAGCACTAGTGTACTTTGTAAGCCAGGAGTGAATGGAGGGATTCAATTGGATTTATTATTATTAACTAAAAAATGGATAAAACGCACAGTCAATTTAAAATATATATATATTGTATAATAAATTGATAGGTTGATCAATTCTGGTGGGTTTTGATTTGAATTATTAATATATATATATAATTTTTTTTATAGAATGAGCACGATTTGTCTTTTTATATGTTGTTCATATTTAGGGAGGATAAAGGATTAGAAAGTTTTATAAAGTTATTAATTTAATAAATGTTAATTGGAAGAAGAAAAAAGGGCTTGCTCGCTTTTCACCGATTTTTCACGGGGATTGGAAAATTATTGTAAGCCTAACTTTTTTTTAAAAATATTTTTGCTTTTGCCTTAAAACTGTCTTCCTTGTATTCTCTTGTTTGCTCGTTTAGTCTTTTGTTAAATTTGATCACAATTTTTTTGTAGTTTTTCTGTCTGAAAGTTACAAAAAAAATGTGTGTGTGTCTGAAGTTTTATCAATTTAAGCAAAAGCAAAAGAAGAACAAAAAAACTATTAACAAGTGTAGCACAGTTTTAAATGTAATTTGTGGATTTTTTCAAAACAAAAAAGAAAGAATCTGTCACAATTTTTTTGTCTTAATACAAAAATTAAAAAATAACAAAAAACGTGGGATCTTTATTCTTTTCTGTTTCTTCTCCCTGTTTTTCTCTCTTTTTATATATTTTTTTTTCGTTTTCCTCCTCTTCTGCCGACTCGTTTTCTCTTTTCTGTGCCAAAAAAACAAACAAAGGTTTCTTTCTTTTTTTCACTTTTGTTTAATTATTATTAACATTATAATAATGACAATGTTTTTATCGTATTTCCGTCTAATAATAGTGCCAATTTAACAATAAATTTAAAAACCATGTAAAAGGTAGAAAGGAGAAAAGAGCGCCGCCACCCGTCCAAAAACGAAAAAAAGTGGCTGTCAATTTATTAATATGTTTTATAATTAAATTTTATTAACCTTTTTTATTTAATTTTTAAAAAAATAGAATTAATACAGGGACCTCAGATGATTCCGTTCAACAAGGAGGCGAGTTTTGTGTTTTTAAAATCAAGAAGAAGAAAAAGTTTGTATATTGTAGCACGTTTTATAATATTACACATATATATAAATAAATTTAACAAAAAAAGAGCTTATATATTATATTTAAAAAATATATTAGTCGAGAGATTATTTAAAATCAGAACATATCAGTGAAAAGTTGAAAGTGTTTTCATTTTATTCCATGTTGATTTGAACAAATATTATATGAGATGATTATAAAATAAAAGACAAATATATGTACATAATATATACTGATTGGTTGAGCTGTTTCATTTGAGAGGAATGGGGATTAGATCAATATTGAATTGACTGAACCGGCCATGAAGAAGGGGTTGAATATTTTGGATGTGTAGTATGTGTACGTTGGAGAGTTAAATCGCCCGGTTTGGTAAGTAAGGTAAATATGTCCCTAGGCGTAGATGAATCTGGAAGGTTTTAATTCCCGGTTTGGTAAGTAAGGTCAATATTTACCAAATGACCTGGATGTGACTAGATTTGTGAAAAACGCTCATGTAACAATAGATATCGAAAGAAGTCTCTCAGAGGGATTTGATGCCAAGTTTAGCAAGTGGATTGTTAGGTCAGTAACTGATGGACCTGGAGAACAGTACAATTTGAAGGTAAAAAATGGCATCTGAGATATAAGATGGGATGGAGTCACAGGAGTTTTAGACAACCGGTTTGGTTAGCGAGGTCAATATTGACCTGGAAAGAGCTTTAACCCACGGGAAGACTCGAGTGTCTTGTGATATGGCGGTTGATGAAAGCGAGATGGCCAGAGATAGTTGTTAGTATTTGGTCAATATTGACTTAATCATTTGGAAAGAGCTTTCCCCCACGGAAAAACTCCGAGTGCTTTATGATATTAGATAACGGTTCATGAATGTGTTTGACCAGAGACGTAGTTGCTATTGCATTGTGAATATTGACTTATTTTCTCGGAAAGAGCTTTTCTCGTTAACTCCCCGGAAAAACTTCAGGTGTTTTGTGGTATTAATTAGATGGCGGTTGATGAAAGCGAGTTTTATTAGGGAGATAGTTGTTAGTATATGGTCAATATTGACTTGGAAAACCCTTTCACCTTTGTGACCCATGGAAAAATCTCCAATTTATGATATTATATGGCGGTTGATGAAAGTGAGTTTGGCCAAGAAAATAGTTGTTAGTATATGGTCAATATTGACTTGGAAAAACTTTTCACCTTTGTGACCCAAGGAAAAATCTCCATTTTATGAAATTATATGGCGGTTGATGAAAGTGAGTTTGGCCAAGGAGATAGCTGTTAGTATATGGTCAATATTGACTTGGAAAAACCTTTCACCTTTGTGACCCATGGAAAAATCTCCATTTTATGAAATTATATGGCGGTTGATGAAAGTGAGTTTGGCCAAGGAGATAGTTGTTAGTATATGGTCAATATTGACTTGGAAAAACCTTTCACCTTTGTGACCCATGGAAAAATCTCCAATTTATGAAATTATATGGCGGTTGATGAAAGTGAGTTTGGCCAAGAAAATAGTTGTTAGTATATGGTCAATATTGACTTGGAAAAACCTTTCACCTTTGTGACCCATGGAAAAATCTCCATTTTATGATATTATATGGCGGTTGATGAAAGTGAGTTTGGCCAAGAAGATAGTTGTTAGTATATGGTCAGTATTGACTTGTAAAGACCCTTAAACCACGGAAAAACTCCATTTTATGATATTAGATGGTGGTTTAGGAAAGTGTGTTTGACCAGGGAGATAGTTGGTATTATATAATCAATATTGACTTGGAAAAACCTTTCTCCTTTGTGCCAATGGAAAAATCTCCATTTTATGATATTATATGGCGGTTGATGAAAGTGAGTTTGGCCAAGAAGATAGTTGTTGGTATATGGTCAATATTGACTTAGAAAGAGCTTTCACCTTTCATCCATGGAAAATCTACATTTTATGATATATGGCGGTTGATGAAAGTGAGTTTGGCCAAGAAGATAGTTGGTATTATATGGTCAATATTGACCCCGAAAGGCTGGTGTGTATAAGTGTATAAGAAGTGGTAGTTGGCGAAAGTGCGTCTGATTGAGTAAAGTTGGAGATGGTCAGTATTGACTACTGTCCTGGAAATGCCATCGTTAATACCAGACTCGCCCAAAATGAAATTTTAAGATCTAAGATAGATCGAATCAGTTCTGAAAAGGGAAAAGCGAGGACAGTCGGACCCAGTATTTGTCGCCTTCAGTCCTCGTCCCTTTTCTTCTTCCTTTACGCCAGGTGGGCCGCCCCCGGTGACGGAAGGGCGTTTATCTCCAGATACGGGGGGATGGATGGAAGGGCGCCTGGCACCCGGCAGTTGACAAGGGGGCTGAATGGGTCTTTATAAATAGAGACGACTCCCTATGAGACAGAAATATATTCAAATATATCTCACGGTGACGACTGCCAACAAAAATACGTGAAAGGCCCTCATCAGGGAGGGGTGGGGGCCGGAAAAGAGGAATAACAAATGAAATAAAAATATATTGAGACGAGGGAGACAGTGGGCCAACTAGGGGTGGACATTAAATGAAAAATTAATACAAGACCCTTTTGGTTGGTCTTATGGTCCATGTGATCTCGCTTTTTCCTACTTTCAAAATTGACTCAATGTTAGGTCAATCATAGAACTCAAGTTTAACACGGTTGGTTATGTAAGACTGTTATGTATTATCTGCCAAAAGTTGAATTATGAAGGATGGAGTAGGTGGTACTGACTTATGGTCCGTTTGGTCTCGCTTTTTCCCTTAAGTACCGACTAATTATTAAGTTGTTCCTTAATCTTAATCTGTTTTAAGGCAGCAGGCATGATTAGATTGAGAGGATCATTTTGGCATTATATCATACTTGCACTAGATGGCATCAGTCACCGTCTTCGGTCCGTCGGTTCTTGCTTGTTCCCCTTGGATTGGGGTTTTTGCGACAGCAGCTTCTGACAGGACGGGTTTTATCTCAGAACAGTCGCAGTTTGGGAAAAAAGGCGAGACTCCGCGGACCCCCATTCCACGCCCCACCACATAGGGGGATGATAGTCGAACCGCGGTCGTGTGCCTTCGGAGCGGGGGCCCTCCTTTCTAAATATACCGGCGGTTCAGTCTACTCCGACACCGCGGATCCGACGTTTCACCCCCACCCACGTTCCGTCGTCATCATCCCGACGGCTCGTCAATTTTTGTCATCATTGATCATTGATCCGTTATGAAGTGATATGTTCACCGGGTTCAAAGTGCTACGGTCCAGGTCTGAGGATAGGAAGAAAGACAACAAAAAGTCCTCGAGCAAATGTAAGTCGTTAACATAGACAAACGAGTCAATTATGGTCAATAATTGTACGGCCCAACTCGGTTCTTCAAGGAACAAATTAAACCAAAATTCCTCAGGCAGATTTTTTGAAATTTTGTTCTTGCATCAAGGCAAATGTCAATAATTGACTTAAGTTTGATCAAATTTCCTCAGCCATAACAAGGGATATAAAAATAAGTTAGTTCAAGGTAAGAAAATCATCTCAGTTAACATACTTCTAAAAATAATTTAAAATAAATTCCCCTGAACAGATTTTTTATTTATTTTGTCCATAGGTCGATGTTTTTGCGGACAATACTTTGAACATGTTTGGTCCAATTTGATCGACCAAAATGCGAGATATAAAAAAAATATTGGTTCAAGATAAGAAAATCATCTGAGGGAACATACTTCTAGGCAGGAATACTAACCTTATTTACCTGGGCCTTTTAAATTGTAGATCGAGGCTTTTGTGGTCAATAATTTAGTCAAATTCGGTCCAATCCAAAATGCCGGTTCCGTTTTGGATTGGATAAGACAACTAAACAATACTAACCCGGATCCCTGGTCTCTCACCTCTCTGATCTGGGCAGGATCGTAGGAATTTTTCATTAAACATCGTAAGTCAATAGGTCAATAATTGTCGAAATTGTAAAATTCGGTTGGTCAAATAGCAAGTTATTGATGAAAGTTTGCTTTGGTTGGGCTCCCTAACGAAACTGCGCTTTTCTCTTTCCTGGCCTCTTGAATGAGATTTCCTCACTTTACAAATTTGAACCAAATTTAAGCTATAGGTCATAGGTCAATAATTCTTCCATTTTGTATAGAACAATGTAAATCATTTTGCGATATATCGAAGAATATAAGTTTTGGATGGCTTCAGACAATGCTACTTTCAGGCCTCCTTGACTCTTTCTTCTTGAAAGTTTTAAACCATTCTCGTTACTTTGAAGATCAATAGGTCAATAATTGTATAAAGTGTCATTGAATTAGATTGACCAATCATCTAGATAATCAAGGAAGTTTTGAGTAAGCTCAGACACAATAATTATTTTTTTGGCCAACTAAGCTTCTTTCTTATGACCGATTTTAACCAAATTTTGACCTCGGATAATACGTCAGTAGGTCAATAATTGTATAAAGTGTCATTGAATTTGATTGATCAATCATCTAGATAATCCAGGAATTTTTGGATAAGTTCAGACACAGAATAATTACTTTTTTGGGCCTACTAAGCTTATTTCTCATGACCGATTTTAACCAAATTTTGACCTCGGATCATATGTCAATAGGTCAATAATTGTGTAAAGTATCAACGAATTTGGTTCACCAATTATCTAGTTAATCAAGAAAGTTTTGGGTAATCTCAGGCATAGAAGAATTAATTTTTTTGGCTTCTTTCTCTTGACTGATTTTAACCAAATTTTGACCACAGATCATAGGTCAATAATTCTGCCGTTTTGTATTGAACAATATAAAACAGTTAGCCATATATCAAAAAAATAGGTGTTGGATGGTTTCAGATGAAATAGCATGCTTTCGGGTCTCCTTGACTCTTTCCACTGGACAGTTTTGAACCATTTTCAGGCCATACATTGAAGATCAATAGGTCAATAATTGAGTAAATTGTCATTGAATTTGATTGAACAATTATCTAGATAATCAAGGAAGTTTTGGGTAATCTCAGGCATAGAAGAATTAATTTTTTTGGCTTCTTTCTCTTGACTGATTTTAACCAAATTTTGACCACAGATCGTAGGTCAATAATTCTGCCGTTTTGTATTGAACGATATAAAACAGTTAGCCATATATCAAGAAAATAGGTGTTGGATGGTTTCAGATGAAACAGCATGCTTTCGGGTCTCCTTGACTCTTTCCACTGGACAGTTTTGAACCATTTTCAGGCCATACATTGAAGATCAATAGGTCAACAATTGAGTAAATTGTCATTGAATTTGATTGAACGATTATCTAGATAATTAAGGAAGTTTTGGGTAAGCTCAGACACAGAATAATTAATTGTTTATTAATTGTTTGTTTTGCCTACTACTACTTCTTTCTCTTGACCGATTACAGCCAAATTTTGACCACAGATTGGTCAATAGGGCAATAAAGTTAAAAAAATTTCATTAAATTCGATGTCATAATTGAGTACATATTTACGAAAAAAGGGCTTGAACTCCTTCGGTCTCTGTACTTTGGACTTTCCAAAATAAACAAATCCCTTGTTTATCACTTTATTCTGATATCTTGTTTGAAAATGACTTGTAAATTCTTAAAGCGGTTTATTTTCCTACGCGCGCGCCCATACGCACGGAAACACCCCACCGTTGTATACAGAACCTTGTATTGTGAATGTTACTAACCCGGCCGAGCGCGAACTTCTCGGCTTAAATTAATAAAAATTGATCCAATTATTGACCCATTTACTCATAGCTCAGATCTGTCAATGAGTAAAGAAGAAAATCATGTTTTATGACTGGCCAGTACAAAACACAATTTCCTCCATATCACGCTAAATATTCTGCATTATTTAATAAAAATAAGATCAACTATTGATCAATTGATCTATTATCTGTGAAAAAATGTCGATCAAAATCTCTCCTGAGAAAATTGCCCAAGAAGCCAAAAAGTGAAATGTGTTACAAATCAACTTCAATTCAAGCAAAACTTAATTTCATGGATATCTCTCTAATTGGCCAATTGATTTTAAGCAAAGTTGCCACAATTATTGACCTATTGACTTGTGATGCTGAAAAAAAAATTAGTTTAATTCTGTCAAAATTTAAAGAGCCCAAGAAGCCTACGAGCAAACTGTTTTGTGTCTGAAGCCATCCAAAACCAATTTCTTCAATATCCCGCCCTGATCGACCAAAATTGGCTAAGATGTTCAGTAATGTACGCTTTGATCTGCCGTTTAAATTGGATTAAATTGGGCCCGAAAATATTTTTTAATTAGGGACGACAATTACAATATTGCGAGGTTTCCTTTCATATAAAAACAATTTCGTCAATAACTCCCAAATTTATAGGAATACGTTGATAATAATTGAGACAGCTATTGACCTATGGATGTTGTATCTATAGCCCTTGACAGGAAAGAAGCCAAAGACTCGTGACAAATTAGCTTCTTGAACTTATCCTACATAGCATTTATTTTGTTAAATATCTTGCTAACATATGTGCCAAATTTAATGCTATTTAACATTGTTATTCACTGTTTAGACCTCTACATAACGAATAAAGTTTGTTATATCTGTTTTTATGAAATTGACTTATTGGGACATAAGTCGGAGTATTTTTTGGCAAAATTGACCTCCTCTCATTTGACCGTGTTCCCTCCTCAACTGAGCAGCACATGTCAATAAAAATTGACACGTTTGTTGGTCATTCCATCTTTCATGGTATGGTATGGTGGAAAGGATGCTGGGAAGCGGCGCTTGTATTCCCCAGGCACTGCAGCCTTCTGGCTTATTGTACCTTCCCAGTTCCCTAGCTTAGTCAATAGACTCAATCCTTCTACTCAGAAGTATCTGGTCATTGACTGTTATTGCTGCAATTTGGTTCCCTGAGTCTTTTTCGTACGTTAGGTTAAACCTCCATTGAGCTGTTGCTTCGCATTCGAAGATGATATGAGTGGCTGTTTCCTCCTCCTCATTACATAATCTGCAAATGGGATCATCATTGACCCATGTTGTGTAGATGTTTTCTCAGACAGGTTAGTAGTCCCACCACTCCTCTGAGTTTTGCCCTCTCCAATTGTAGCAGTGTTTTTGCCAATTTTGGTGAGGGTTGTTTCATCATAAGTTTACTATGTCTAGCACCGCTAGAGTTTATCCACTTCTCTCTTTGTTTTGTTTGGAAACATTCTGCGATGGAGGATTCTATGTTTGTTTTTGTCATCCCAAGGATAGGTTCAGGGCCTATGTATGGTCTTGCAGATCCTCCTCTGGCCAGTTTGTCTGCTTCTTCGTTACCCAGAATTCCCCTGTGCCGTGGCACCCAAGATATCATTAAGTTGTTGTGTTTCCCCAGGTGTTAGAGATTTTGGATACATTCACTGACTAGTTTTGATGTAATTCTTTTACATGCCAATGCTTTAATAGCTGCTTGGCTGTCTTCTGATCTTATGAGGATTTTTTTGTCAGTGTAACCTCTTGTAAGATTTTCCAGGACACAAGCGAATAAAATAAAAATTGACTCGTTTGTCGACCATTCCATCTTTCATACAATGTTCCAATTTTGGTTCAAATCGGTTCAAAAAAAGTTGACTTGTTGGGGCATAAATCAGAGTATATTTTGGCAAAATTGACCCCCTCTCATTTGAAAATGTTCTCTCATCAACTGAGCGCACATGTCAATAAAAATGACACGTTTGTTGATCATTCCATCCTTCTTATAATGGCTTTATTTTGGTTCAAATCGGTTTCTAAAAAGTTGATTTATTGGGGCATAAATCAGAGTATATTTTGGCAAGATTGACATCCTCTCATTTGAAAATGTTCTCTCATCAACTGTGCAGCGCAAGTCAATAAAAATTGACAAGTTTGTTGGCCATCCCATCATTCATACAATGTTCCAATTTTGGTTCAAATCGATTTCTAAAAAGTTGATTTATTGGGGCATAAATCAGAGTATATTTTGGCAAGATTGACCTCCTCTCATTTGAAAATATTCTCTCATCAACTGAGCAGCACAAGTCAATAAAAATTGACTCGTTTGTTGACCATTCCATCCTTCTTATAATGGCTTTATTTTGGTTTAAATCGATTTCTAAAAAGTTGACTTATTGGGGCATAAATCAGAGTATATTTTGGCAAAATTGACCCGCTCTCATTTAACTTTGTTCTCTCCTCAACTGAGCAGCACACGTCAATAAAAATTGACACATTTATTCGCCATTCCATCCGTCATACAATGTTCCAATTTTGGTTCAAATCGGTTTTTAAAAGGTTGACTTATTGGGGCATAAATCAGAGTATATTTTGGCAAAATTGACCCG